ACGGTGAGCGGAACTCACCCTGTGACCAGTGTTCCCTCTAAGCTGAGTTAGTGTGAGCCAGCTCACAGTTTTTTAGCCTCTGGCTCACACATTTTTGTCTTAGCTGAGGAAGGAGGGCTCCAGAGCAAACTAATTTATGCCGTAGCCAAATCGCTCGTTCACAACTTTAATGCCAGGAGCTCACAAAGTAGAATTTTTGCTCACAAGACTCTACAGCTTAGAGGGAACATTGCCTGTGACTGCATTTTTCAGCCAGCATGGTGTAGAGTTTAAGAGCAGCAGAGTCTAATCTGCAGAACTGGGTTTGGTTCCCCACTCCTCCTCCTCCTCATGAAGCCTGCTGGGTGACCTTGGGCCAGTCACAGTTCTCTCAGGACTCAGCCCCACCTACCTCACAGGGTGCCTGTTGTGGGGAGAGGAAGGGAAGGCAATTTTAATCAGCTCTGAGACTCTCCTTAGGGTAGAGAAAAGCGAGGACTAAAAACCAACTCTTCCCAGAAGTGGCCTACTTTGGTTCACAACGGGAAGGGGGTAGCTGTGAGGAAATTACTGGGGTTTTTTCATGGCAGGGGGAAGCATAGACTGGGAGTGGATTTAACCCCCCCCCCCAAGAAATCCATGCAGTGCTGTGAACCATCACATACACCCTTTGCTTTAGTGGAAATTGGCAGCATTCTGGTTCTGACCCCATTTGGGGTGTGTGTGAAGGTTGGGTGTGGCTCTGGTTTAGCGTGTGTGAAGGTTTGCCTCCCTATATCTCACCTCAACCTTCCTTGCAGGGTCATTGTTCCAGTTTGGTGTAATGGTTAAGAGCGCAGATGCTAATCTGGGAGAACCGGGTTTGATTCCCCACTCCTCCATGTGCAGCTGCTGGTGTGACCTTGGGTCAGTCACAAGTTCTCTCAGAGCTGTTCTCTCAAGAGCAGTCCTCGAAAGAGCTCTCTCAGTTCCACCTACCTCACAGGGTGTCTTGTTGCAGGGAGGGGGAAGGGGAAGGAGATTGTAAGCCACTCTGAGACTCCTTTGGGTAGTGAAGGGTGGGGTATAAATCCAATATCTTCTTCTTCTTCATTGTGATGAAGAGGGCTCATCTTCCCAGGTGGTGCCTTGGGCTCTTTGCAGGCAGGGCAAGAGAGAGACTGCAATAGCAACTCAAGGGCTGGATCCAGAGAGCTTAGGAGCAAGGACTGTGGAGCATGCATTCTCTTTCTCCCAGCAGTTCTGTCTGACCCTTGGAATGTTTATTCCTGGAGTCCCAGGACCCATGTGGACTAGGGGGCAAAAAATCACCATTTCCTTCCACTGATGGAGTTGCATTGACAGCAGAAGTAGAAAGGGCCATTTCATCCCTTTTCTTCTCCCTACTGCAGTCTTCCAACCTCAGGAGCAAACGTTCCAGGGCTCTGAAGGGATAGCTATGGGAAGGGCAACACAGGAAAGATCCACGGCCATCAGTACCTTTCTGCTGATGGATCACTGGACCCAACTTGAAGTTGACTTGCTTCAGTAACCGCAAGTCCTGATCGAGTGAGGCCTATTTGTACGGAGCTTTGGTGCATATATGGATTTCTCCGTTTCTGTCAGTGGAGGGAGGTAACTTCTCTCTTCCATCTCAGTGGGTTGATCGTACATGTGCAGAACTGCTTTCCTCCGTTAGAATAAATGGGAAGGATGATCAGGTGGGAGCCCTGTGCATGCATTGGAGCATGCATGGAGCATTGGATGGGGAGGTTCTAACTCTGTAGCATCCCCACTGCCAGTTCACCGTATTGCCAATTCAGCTGTCAAGGAAATGTGCCATCCTGCACTGTGGGAATCAGTTTTTGAAAAAGTTCTCATGAGCATACCCTAAAGAAGCACTGGCTCAACCATTCACAGCATTATGGTTGCATTCCCCCCCTTTCCTCTCTTGTCCTGTATATGCGCCTCCCTCCACGATCTCTGTTTCTCTAGCCAGTTTGCAATGATGTTTGAATTGGGAAACTATAATTATGGGTGTGGTTTGCAAGCCGCAGTTTTAAATAATGGTTTGGGGGCATGGCACTCACAATAGTGTACTGATCTGGAGGTCGCCGCAAACTACAGCTGAGAAGCGGGGTAAGGATCCGTGTGTCAGAGGGGAGGGAGCCTGGGAGGCCGTAGCATGGTTTTGAGCCCCCAGACCATTTTAACCATCAGGTTCTAATTTCTGATTCCAGTCACTATCTGAGGTTAGAAATGTATCCCATGTAATGCACTCATATTCCTCCCTTCCCCCAAAGAGCCCAGCGTAACGTCCGTCTGCTCCTTTCCTTCCTTTTGCTCTCACAACAGCCCTGTGGGGTAGGTTAGGCTGAGAGAGAGAGAGAGTGACTGGTCCAAGGTCGCCTAGCGAGCTTCCATGGAAGCTGTGGGAGGGGGATTATATGTAATGTAAGATTTTGAGGGCCGAAGTCCAGTTTCTCAGCTGTACAGAGTACGCTCTAGTCCTTGTAAGTTTATGCCATAATGCATTAGTTAGTCTTTAAGATGCCGTGAGAATTCTTTTGCTGTACAAGTTACGCTGTAGACCATGAACGTTTGCACTGTGTTAACATTTGTTAGTTTTGAAGCTGCTATGAGGATTCTTTTTGCGTGCAACAGGCTAACGGGGCTACCCCTCTGGAATTTATCTTCTTTAAATGGCTTGTTCAATTATTTCCACCCCCCACCTATTCCATATGAGTGCGACAGCTGCCTTCTGGAAAACCTTGTGGTGGTGACGGGGGATAATCTGTAGATTGTGGTGACATCTTCTCTCCCCCCCCCCATTTTTCTAATTTCTGAGTGAGTGTCAGAAAGAAGAGATTCCTCCAGTTGTCTTGGGAGAGAAACCATTCCTTTCCCCCCTTCAGGCTTTCATCTCTTTTTCCAATTCAGGAGCTCATCAGCTTTTTAGTGGCTCACAGCCAAGGAAGTAGGTGAGGAATGAGCCTTCCTTCGAGGGGAAGGGGAAGAGTGTGTGTCCTTGTCGAACTAGACGTGTCTGCACAGGATGCAAAGGCAGCCTTCCTTCTGTCAGCATTTGCAAATGGGGATGAATTTAATAGAGATTAAACCCCTTTCTGAGACTCGTCTAATCCTCCCTGAGAGAGTTTACAAAGGAGAACCCAGGGTTGCCACACTGGCAGGATAGTCACATGCAAGAGGTGGCTTTGCCAGTCCCAGGTGTTTGCTGGGCGGAACTTGAGGCTGGGTTGACGCCTTCAGAGGCTGAGGTTCAGCTTGGGTCATGACCTAAATGGTGGGTCTTTCCCTGCTGGTAAAAAAACAGAATAATGAAGAATTGTGCAATTCACCAAATTGTGCCTTTCCGGACCTGGGTGGCCCAGTCTAGCCCAATCTCATCAGATCTTGGAAGCTAAGTAGCGTCATCCCTGGCTAGGATTGCCAGGTCTAGGTTGGGAAATACCTGGAGATTTTGGGGGTGGAGCCTGGGGAGGGCGGGGTTTGGGGAGGGTGGGATTTCAGTTGGGTATGATGCCATAGAGTCTACTTTCCAAAGCAGCCATTTTCTCCAGGAATAGAATAGAATAGAATAGAATAGAATAGAATAGAATAGAATAGAATAGAATAGAATGTTAGAATTGGAAGGGACCTTGCAGGTCACCTAGTCCAACCCCCTGAACTCTGCAGGAGCATAGCCGAAAGATAGCCCTACATACCTACAACATACCCGAAAGATGGTCGTCCAGCCTCCGCTTGAAAACATCCAGCGAAGGAGCATCCACCACCTCCCGAGGCAGACTGTTCCACTGCCCAACCACTCTTACAGAGGAGAATTGATCTGTCACCTGGAGATCAGTTTTAACCCCAGGAGATCTCCAGACTCCACCTGGAGGTTGGCAACCCTAGATCCGGTAGTATTTGGCTGGCAGACCACCAAGGAATACCAGGGGTGTGACATGGAGGCAGGCAGTGGCCGGCCACCTCTGAACTGTCTCTTGCCTTGAAAACCCTACAGGGGTTGCCTTAAGTCAGCTGTGACTTGACAACAACAACAACAAAGGGCCCAAGTGCCATTTTGGGGGGTGGGGAGCGGAAAGTTGCATACCTACAACATGCGACCCTATCCTAGACATGCAAACTTATGAGTAATAAAAGGCAGTTGTCAGGGATGCTCTAGGCTGATCCTGCATTGAGCAGGAGATTGGACTAGAAGGCCTGTAGGACCCCTTCCAACTCCGTGATTCGAGGATTCTTAGTTTCTGTCTTCAGTTACCTTTTCTACATGTCTGAAATTATACCATGGCCCACCATGCCCCAAAACATGACCTTCCCCCCCTGACCTTTGATATTTTTAATATCCAGCCATGGCAAGACTCCTACACAGCTTGGCCCACTATTTGTACCAGTTTTTAGTTGGTCGTTCTGATGTTTATCCTGTTGAACTGTTGCATTAAACAAAATTGTGCAGACCCCAACGGGCTGCAAAAATGTTACAAAAAAAACAATGAGCTTCAAAAAAAAGGTTTTTTTGGCTGTTACATTGCAAAACCGTGAGTGATTCCTCCCTCGCCCTTCTCCTTCAGTGGGGGGAAATCATCCAGGAACTGGTTAGGTCACGCCTCTGCTAGCTCGATAGGCTATGCAAATTTCTTTTGTTGCATGGCTCCTATTGGAGTGGCCTAGGCTGACCTCTCCAGTTCCTGCATAGCCCTGTGCTCGGTAGGACTACTGGAGCTCCCGTTCCAAGCCAGCCTACCTAGGGCAACTTAGTTCTAGACTGCCTTACAAAAAAATATAGAACTGAATAGCCCACAGAAGCAGATCCATTTATTTTGCAGCTTCGCACTCGCTAGACAAAATGGCATACGTGGCTTAACCATTCTTGCCCCATCATGAACACAGGAAGCTGCTTTATACTGAATCAGAACCTTGGTCCATCAAAGGCAGCCTTGTCTGCTCAGACTGGCAGTAGTTCTCCAGGATCTTGGGTAGAGAAAGGTCTTTCACATCGCCTACTGCCTGGTCCCTTTAATTGGAGGTGCCAGGGGTTGAACCTGGGACCTCTTGCACACGAAGCAGAGGCTCTTCCACTGAGCCACAGCCCCTCCCCTTGTAGAACATGGGCAGTTTTGGAAGAGTGCTACCCTTCTGCAACTTCCTTCATCTTCTGTTGCAGATGCTGGCAGGGTGCAGAAAATCCGTAGGGCTACACGCACGTCACTAGGAACACTGCAGTTTGGTCATTTTAGGAAATCTCATTGAATAAGTTAAGGTGGAGGAGTTCACTCTTTTCCAAAAGCAGACTTACAGTGCAGTCCGATGCAGGGTCACTGCAGTCTAGACTTACAGAAATCAGTAGGTTTAAGCTGCCCTTACCTGGAACGCACAGGAACGGAGTTCCGGCTGGCTTCAGAGTTGGCCACGCCCAGTACAACCAAAATCTCTGCGTGTGTGGCTACAGAGGGAAGGCCTGGAGAGTGACCCCCCCTGGCAACTCCAAGGGAGGCTGGCTCCTGAGTTGGCCACACCCAGCAGGAACTCATTAGCATAATAGGCCACACCCAAAAGCAGAAACTCATTAGAATTGGCTACATTAGGGGTGCATGGCCTAACATGCAAAGGAGTTCCTGCTACAAAAAAAGCCCTGGGTTTTGACAACAAGGTAAACAGAATAAGAAGCAAAAGGTGGGTGTGGCTGGATGACCACACTTCTGGTAACATGGGGGTGCGGCCTAACATGCTAATAGGCTGTGCTGACAAGGGTGTGGCCTAATATGCTAACAAGTTGGGTGTGGCCTATTATGCTATTGAGTTCCTGCTGGGCTTTTTCTACAAAAAAAGCCCTGCTGATCAGTATTTGGAAGGGAGACCACCAAGGAATAGCAAGGTCGTGACGTGGAGGCGGGCAATGGCAAGACCACCTCCAAAAGTCTCTTGCCCTGAAAACCCTACGGGGGGTTTGCCATAAATCAGCTGGGACTCGACAGTAACTTTCCACAGGTCTAGACTGTATTACGTTTGCACAGGATTGCACAAATCTGTCTGCAGATTGTATTCTTCCACCTTCCGCGTCTGGAATCCTCGCTTTCACTTTGTGTCCGACGTCAGAGGCAAGTTCCCAGTTGGGAGTGCTAATCCCAAAGTAAAGTAAAAGTAAAGGTTCCCTTGCTCGAAACCCGGTCGAATCAGACTCTAGCCCTTACCTGGATAGCCCTGATCAGTATTTGGAAGGGAGACCTCCAAGGAATAGCAAGGTCGTGACGTGGAGGCGGGCAATGGCAAGACCACCTCCAAAAGTCTCTTGCCCTGAAAACCCTACGGGGGTTGCCATAAATCAGCTGGGACTCGAAAGTAACTTTCCACAGGTCTAGACTGGATTAAGTTTACACAGGATTGCACAAATCTGTCGGCAAATTGTATTCTTCCACCTTCTGCATCTGGAAACCTCACTTTCACTTTGCGACCGACGTCAGAGGCAAGTTCGCAGCTGGGAGTGCTAATCCCAAAGTAAAAGGTAAAGGTAAACACCAAGGCGCACGGAACGCTGTTACCTTCCCACCGAAGTGGTACCTATTTCTCTACTTGCAATTTCTTGCTTTTGAACTGCTAGGTTGGCAGGAGCTGGAACTAGAGACGGGAGCTCACTCCGTCATGCGGCACACTCGGGTCTCGAACTGCTGAACTACTGACCTTCCACAGCCTGCAGTTCAGCGTCTTAACCACTTGAGCCACTGCCCTTTTCTGCACTTTTTCCAAAGCTATAATATCCTTTTTAAGGTGTGGTGACCAGAACTGCACACAGTATTCCAAATGAGGTTGCACCATTGATTTATAGGGGCATTATGATATTGGCTGATCTGTTTTCAGTACCCTTCCTAATAATCCCCAGCATAGCATTGGCCTTTTTTATTGCAGTCACACACTGTCTCGACATTTTCAGTGAGTTATCTACTACAACTCCAAGATCTCTCTCTTGATCAGTCTCTGCCAGTTCAGACCCCATCAACATGTATTTATATTTAGGATTTTTGGCTCCAGTGTGCATCACCTTGCACTTGGCTACATTGAACCCCATTTGCCATGTTGACGCCCACTTGCCCATCCTTGACCGATCCCTTTGGAGTGCCTCACAATCCTTCCTCTTCTTCGATGGGAAATTGGAGGAAGGCGCCTTAGATTAGCTTCAAACTGGAGTCAAAACGACAGGTGGGGCGTAAATATAATAAGTGGGAAAAAATCAAGGTTACTCAGCGGAGTGGTAGGCTTAGGGGTAGGACCCACCCCAATTACTTCTCCCAGCCTTTAAATGAAACCAACCCAGCCACTAAATGCCTTATTCAAATGCAGACGGTGGCAAGCCGCCCACCTGTAATACTACGCTCAGATGTTGGCAAATCTGTGCATAGTGCTCCAGCGCTGGCAACGGATGAGGATACAGGCAATGCAAGTATCTGCTGTTAAATCGCAAGCAGTCCTGTATTCTGTGGGAGATAATAACTCACAGACTGCCCCCCCCCCCATTCCCCACTTGGCTGATTCTTAAACTGCCATCTGCAGAAAGATGGATGCTGACGGGAGGAGGGGGGGGTGAACATCTGCTCAGGAGGGAAACCCTGCTGTTTTGAGCAGTGCTCCCTTCTATTCTTGTTAATGCTACTGCTAAATGAGTGTTAAACGACAACAGCATGGAAGGCCTTGCGATAGGGATGCCAGCCTCCAGGTGGGACCTGGGGATCCCCCGGAATCACAGCTCATCTCCAGACTACAGAGATCGGTTCCCCTGGAGAAAATGGATGCTTCGAATGGTGGACTATATGGCACTGTACCCCACTGAGGTCCATGTCCTCCCCAGGCTCCATCCCCAATCTCCAGGAGTTTCCCAACTTGAAGATGGCAACCCTACTCCTCCATCTGTGGTCAAGGGGGGGACTTGACAACCAATGCTCCCTCTAAGCTGTGGAGTCTCGTGAGCAAAAATTCTACTTAGTGAGCTATTGGCATTAAAGTTGTGAATGAGCGTTTTGGCTACTGCATAAATTAGTTTGCTCTGGAGCCATCCTTCCTGGAGGCTAAAAAACTGTGAGCTAGCTCACACTAATTCAGCTTAGAGGGAACACGCCTGACAACCCTACCTTGCCAGACAGTCTTAGGATCTAATGACTATATTACACATAATGCCATACAACAGTAATAACAGAGACTGAAAATCTTTCCCAGAGTCCTGTTATGAGAATATTGAACGTGGGGAGGTTCCTCTTACCCAGCACAAACCACTGGTCTCTCGACTTGGTGCTCTTATGCTCCTGCAGAGTGCAGGGGGTTGGACTAGATGACCTGCAGGGTCCCTTCCAACTCTTAACATCTCCCTGTTAAACTTGATCACACATATTGTAAGCCACGGTTCAATTACACTGAGCTCCGTGATCCAGGAATGTGTTATGCATACCAGCCAGCAGAATGCTAACAAAATGCTATCTTCTCCCCGAGTCAGCTGGGTGCAAACAAAATGCCATCTTCACCCTGAGTCAATGGGGTGCAAAATCACTCTCCACAGATAGCTCTATGTGGTGTGGATCTCAGATATGTGAGCACCAGGGAGGCGACCATATGCACCCAAAGAGAGGTGGATTAAAAAGAAACAGATGATTTCTTCTGTGTTGTCCCGAGTAGAGCTAAATCCGCTGAAATCGGTGGGCTTAAAAGGATGCAGGTTTGCTTGGGACCACAATGTTAGCACTGGGAATAATTTATTTGCAGCCCGTGATAGCCTGCTGTCCTGGGCAAGGCAAAAAGAGATGCTGAGCAGACGGGGAGGATTTAAATAAAAGAGCCATGTCAAAAGGAAGAGAGGCGGCGGCTTGGGAATGGAAGAGCAAGGGGAAGGTAGAGTGGAGCATGCAAAGCAAAGGTGTGTTTCGTGGTACCATTATTTGGAATTCTGTCACTCGGGTTGCAAAGGAAAATCCTTGTTTTCCCAAAGCAGGGCCTGGGTAAGTCCCCAATCCCACTGCGTTTGCACTTGCGTTCAAGCAGGCTGCCAGCGAGTTCCTCTGCCAAGACAACATCACAGTAGCCTGGCCGTAGCTCACCCCGCTCTCTTGACGTCCTCCTGTCGTGCGGAGTGGTTGGGGCTTGCTCGCCCCTCTCGGCTTTGTCCTGGGTTCTTGCACGAGGGGGGAAAGCGTGTTCTGATGCCCAGCCAGTTCATTTGGGACAGTCGGGGAGTACAGAAAGACGGTCTGTTTCTTGAACAGCCGTACCAGGACTAATGGGCTGAAGTTCCTGGAAGATTGACTTCTATTGGACACACTTGGTGACGGTGGGAACAATTCAACAATGGAACCAGTTGTCCCGCGGAGGGGTGCCCTCTCCCTCATTGGAGATCTTCAGACAGAGGCTAGGCAGTCGTCTGTCAGGAACGCTTTAGCTTTAGATTTCCTGCCCTCAGTGGGAATTGGATTAGACCAGGGGTCCCAAATGTGGTGCTTGTGGGCGCCATGGTGCCTGCCAGCACCTTTACTGGTGCCCGCCAGGTATTTTTAGAATGTGGGTGGGGCAAGGTAGGGCTTTTGCCCAGCAAGGGTTCATATTGGCCGCTGGAGATTTTATTGGCTGTGCAGGTTACTGAAAACACTGCTTTGGCGGCAGCTGCCCGCCCAGCACAACGGTGACTGACGGTAAGCCACGGCAGCCATTTTGTGTCTGGCTCCCCCTCTTGTGGCAGCCATTTTGTGGCTGTGCCCACAATGCTGTCTCAACATTCCAACAGTCCCCATAAGCTGAAAAAGGTTTGGGATGCCTGGACTACACAGTCAGACCGCTTCGAGGATGGCACAGAAACAACGGCCCTTTCCCACTATATTCCACAAACGTGGAGGGCTTCCAGATGGAGAATTTCATGCACATCGATTCATTGCGGCCTGCAAAACCATGTGAGGAATGTGCTGATCCCTATGCTGCCGGTTCGTGCTGCAGATGGGCCACAGTCCAGGTGGTTTGTGAAACCGTATCTCCCCTTTGCAGCCAGTTTCTTGGTGGGCTGGCCTCTCTGGGCCTGTGGTTTAGGCAGGGCTCTGGTTTTGTATTCCAAGAAGATGCCATAGAA